AGATGCCGGTCACAGATGCTGGCGAAACGTTAGGAAACAAAACTTCCAGAATACGGCCACATAGCCCGGAAGACCCACACCAGCCATGAAGATGGCTCTGCTAAAAGTGGAGCCGATGACTGACGAAATGAAGAACCAGTGAGTAGATGGCTCTTCATAATTCCTCTCTGGACAAGGAGAGGACTTGAGATCACCCACAGGTGCTCCAGACAGCTGCTTCTCATGAGGAGACTGCAAGACAGTGATCTCTGGTAGGTTTCAAGCTCTGGGAGATGAGAGGAAAGACATCTTGCTCAATCTGTGGTCAGCACCTTTGAAAGGACACTAAGTTTGCATACTTCCTTTTCTAATCACTTTTGGAAATTGCCTGTTAATTGCTTTTCAGCTATTAGGAACCTTTGAATTGACAAGTCTGAAAACACTGGGTGAGTTTCCTTCAGTACTTACTTACTTACTTACTTACTTATTTATTTATTTATTTTATTTAAGCAATTTATATGGCCACCCAACTCACTCACAGTGATTCTGGGTGGCTCACAGGAATAAAAATCCCAAATACAAAATCCACCCTTCTATTTATCGAAATAAGTTTTAAATACAAGTTCAATGACTTAAAAAAAAAAGGCGGGGGGGGGAATAAGCAGCAAAAGGGTGATTAGAACTTTGATTTTGGAAAGTTACAAATGGACTAAGGGTCCAAATGGATTTGAAATAAGACTTTGGAATTAATTATAAGAATCCTTCCCATGGGAAAATGCTTTTGTTTTGAATTCTTTTGAAAAAAAGCATGATAGGATGAAACTTTGAAGGTTGGACATTAGAGGGAATCAGAAGGAACTAAAAGATTACAATTAAAGTAGAAGAACACTTAAATTTGACTTACAAATACAGAATGAAGCAAAATATTTTAACATTGGATGTACTGAAGGATATTTCAATGGACCCAGAAGTTAATTTTAAGAGTGTCTACCTCTACAGATAGACTGTGTTTAAAAGATGTTATGGAAGAGGAACAAGTTTTACCTGATAAAATTGAGATTGATCTGAAAGTGGATTTAAAAATGACAGGCTACAAGAATGATATGGAAAAAGATGCTACACTGGACATACAAAACAAACAAACTCATGTTTTAATAATTAAAAGGGATATACAAATAACAAACCAAGAGAAGTGGATTTAAAAATGACAGGCTACAAGAATGATATGGAAAAAGATGCTACACTGGACATACAAAACAAACAAACTCATGTTTTAATAATTAAAAGGGATATACAAATAACAAACCAAGAGAGTCACCTGAAAAACTTTCTTATATTGGATTTACAAAAGAGGCTTGCTAAAGCTA